ATAAGCACTTTTGTAAATGCCACAATCTAACCCCAGCCCAACTGACTGATAAGTCAGTATCCAGATATGGCTTGATGGCTCCCTTTCTCTCTTTCAGGATGTGACAGGAACATGTCTTATTTCCTTGTGTTTTCCAGCTTCTAAAAGCTGCCCACATTCCTTGGTCTCTTCCTCCATTTCAACGCCACCAAGGACACACCACTCTGACTCTTCCATAGTCACATCTCCCTAGCCACAGCTGGGTCTCTTATTTGAAAGACCCATGTGATTCGTTTGGGCCCACGTAGATAATCCATCTGTGTGGATATCTCTCCATCTCAAGATCCTTAACAACATCTGTAAAGAGCCTTATTTGGACAACACAGTTCCATATAAAGGATTCAAGGCATATTGAGTACTTTGGATTCAGGTATTCATGGGCTCAGGGCATAGAGACATGGTTATTGCTGGGGGGAGAAGCATATTCTGCCTATCACAAGCTGTTTCCAGAATCCAAGTAATAAAGATCTTTGAAACTCAAAAGGTCGTTGATTGCTTCTCTCATTATCTTTCCTTTTAGCATTGAATTTTGCCTGCAGAAATAAGAGAAGTTTTCAATACATAAAGTTGCAAACATGGGACAATGTCACAATTTCCCCAAATCTAGCATGAATGTCTTGGATGAATTTTTTTTAATTTCAATGCCATTGGTAAACATGAAATCTATCCAGCTTTACTGCTGTGTATTTATATGAGACATTAAACAATGGGTCTTTTGAAATAGCAAAATGTTCATGGAAAGCACAAACTGTCATTTTCCAGGATGTGTAGAAGGGTAGAAGGGTAGAAGTGGCTGGTATTACGTGTTCCTAAACCCAGCTTTCCCCCGAGTTCGCTCATGATGTGTGTTTATATGCACTGCAGGGCAGAGAGCAGCCTTGGCCGGGGCCGGGCAGGCTTTCACAAGTGTGCAATTGATTTCTGAAGACAGCAGTGCCTACCCATGCCTGGCAAATCCTTTAGCTGAAGTCGGAAGTCAAAGATGCGTAAGTGCTTACTGCTGCTTTCCAAAACTCACCACAATTTGGGCTGATCCTCAGCAAAGGACATGTCCTCTACCCCGGGAACTGTGGATTTGTTCATGTGGTTTTTACAACCTGGAGCCCAACTCGAGTTACAATCTGGATCCCTATTCAAAATGGACTACAATATCAGTTGGTGTTCAGAAATGTCTTGGTGGCTCTTTTTCTGTCTTATTGGCAGGAATATGCTTCATTGGGCATATTTCTCTTCAAGCCAATGACTCTTTCAAGAGGTACATACAGTATCAAGGGCTACTCTGTGACATGCCAATTTTTACCATGGGATGACTTAACAAAGAACCAGAGTTTATTGAGTTTATCTACACTCCAAGCCTGTGCTAAGAGTTTAAGGGCATTATCTTATTTAACTTTAGAAAACCCTATAAAACAGACTCCATTAGTCACTCTGCTTATAGATGATAGAGGCAAAACTTAAAGAGACTTGCCCAACCATACAAAGCTGGTAAGTGACTGGGCTGTGCTAAGTTGCAACTGGGCACGGCCAGTGAGCACTCAACCTGGATACAAAATGTGTAAGGGAGCCAATGTTTTTAAAAATCAAAATTAATGAAAAAACTCCATAATGCACTATATATCTCAATTTTAAATAAAGACAGGCTCTGGCTTGTACTTGTAGGACTCAGGCTCATGAATCTGACCCTAAGCCCTGCCCTGCTGTATCCTATGCCTGCCGCGACTGGGATTTGAACTCAAGTTTGTCTGAGACCAGAGCCCATGTGCTTACCCATTTCTCGGTGGTACTCAGTTGCCTATTCTGTTAGCAGCACCTGAATGTACTTCAGTGATGTTTCAACAGTGCTGACTAACGGAGCTGATTCGCCACTCTTCTTATCGTTGTGAATAGCATACCCCTGCTGGATGGAGAGGGACAGCTGTGGTGGTGAGAAATCACGTAAAGTGGCCTCTGAACTTTGCCATTGGCCAAAGAAACTCTTGATAGAGGGCATCCTGGCCTGAGCAAATCAAGCAGATTTGCTTTAGTGGAAATGCAGCAACTCAGTGCAGATGAACCACAGGTCCCCCAGCAGCTGACCTATTCCTAGATGATTTAGTGGTGCCCTTCCCTGCCAGCCCCACCTCTACAAGTGGCACTGTGGACTAAGGGCCTTTGCTTCTCTGGAAATAGAAATTCCCTCACATAGGGCATTGGAAAGCCAGCCTCCTCCTTAACTTCCTGTCTTCTGCAGTTGAAGCAGCTGTCCTATAACGTCCACAGTTCCTTCCAGCCTGGCCCTGGTTGCTGCCCACATGGCTAGGACAGGCAAACAGCTTCTATGGCTACAAATGGGACACATGAGTCTCATTTCTGCCATGGAGGGTATCATGAACATACTCCATGAGATGGTCATTCCTCCTGTCTCCTTTTCCTTTCCCAGCCAAACATAAGCTGGGAAAGGAAATCAATTCTTAAAGCATCTCCTTGTAAACTTTAGGCTGTCACTCCAGTAGCAAAGCTTTTTTGAATACCATCATGAACCTTCAGGATACTTTGCTGTGATATGGAGCTGCCCTTTTCCTGGAATCTAGTGGTGTGTGTCCACCCTCTGGCACTCAATGAATTATAGCCAAAATATGGCACTTTTTAAGGCTGGAAAATGAATTAACAGGTAGTCATACTGTCAAGGCCCCTGTTTGTAAAGGGAGATGATTGTCAGAGGCAAGAAGTGTGCACTTACTGTACTCAACATTTTAACACTCAATATGTGTAGTTTAGTAACACCATGTATCAAATGTGAAGCCCATGTCACCCACCCAGCCGGCCTTTCCTAAACCAAAGAGGCTGTCAGTTCAGTGAAGAACCTCCTTAGGGGCTAAGAATTTGATATCTGGAAGAAACTGCCAAAGACTACCTTTTTATCCAAACTTTGTTGTTTTGGATCAGAATCACCATAAAACTTTATTGCAATAGACAAGTACAGTGTGTTCCATAAAGCACAAGTGTATGTGTGTGTGTGTGGTGTGTTTAAATACAAAAGAATATAATATTTCTGGGAATATAAATATAAAATAGTTGAGTTAATCCTAGGAAGAAAATGATCAACTCAACATGGTACTTTTCAAATTTACTGCATCTTGTAAAATAGTTTTTGGATCAAATTTTTTAGGAAGTCATCAAAAGACAGAAACTCCAGATGACCATCCTTGTCAATAATTAAATGTAAATGATTGTTTGCTTCTAGTCGTGGTGTTAAGTGAGGAGGAATCTTGTCCTAATGACTTGGAGAAGACCCTAGATGGGGATACAGGAAGGGTGGGGTGGGTTCCCTTTCTCTGGCCTCAAACTCTCAAACTTTTCATTTTCTTGGTAAAGCTGTGGTATCTTTCTTCAAATGAAATGGAACAATGAGCTCAATAGATAAAAAGCAAAAGAGGGAAACTCACCTTGGAAACAGGATGACAATTCTGTTCCCCCATCCTCTTCTTCTATAGGGACACATAGGTGGGTGCCCCTTATATCCTGTGTTCTGGTCTCTACATCACCTCTTAATCCCTGAGAACCTGTGGAGTCCAGTTTTAAAAGCCTAGTTATCAAGCACTGCACATAAATACAAATTGCAGGCTTAAAGGAATCTCATGGTACTGCTATAGTTTGGATCTTAAGTGTCCCCAAAGATCCCTATGTTAAGACTTGGTCTCCAGTGTCATTCCATTGGGAGGCAAAGAAACATGTAACAGATGGGGCACAGTGAGAGGTCTTTAAGACATTGGGGGTGTTCCTTCAACCCCCTTTCTCCTCCTCTCATTTTGCTTCCTTGCCATGAAGTAAGCAGTTTTGTTCCACCACAAACTCCCACCACAATATGTTGCCTTTGCAGACTCAAAGCAATGGGCCAATTGATCATAGATTGGGACTTTCACAATAAGCCTTTTCTCCTCATCAGTTGATTCTCTCAGGTATTTGCTGTTGTGACAGAAAGCTGACTAACATAAGTACAAACTTACAGTCACAGGCATGTGGAGTGAGATTTTTACAAAAACTTATTTAAAATTGCGAATGATCAAAGACTAGAGAGGCACCATCTCATAGAACTTTTTGCAATGCTCTATTTCTGTGTTGCCCAATACATTACAACTAGCCACGCTGGCTAATAGGACTAGAAACTGAATTATGAATTTTACAGAATCTGAATTAATTTGAATGTAAATTTACCAAAATGTGTCCATTGGTTACTATATGAGGCAGTGAAGTTCTAGAACATTTCATTTGCTTTGCTTTGTTTTGTTTTGTCTTTATTATTATTGTACTGTAAGTACGTTGTGACATTTACAAAAGTTCTTACAATATATCATACTTGAATTTACTTCCTCCATTACTCTCCTTTTTCCCCTTGCTCCCATTTCTGGAATGGTTTCAACAGGTCTCATTTTTCCATCTTCATACATGAGTCCATAATATCTCCACCATGTTCACCCTCCTACACTCTCTTATGTCCTCGCCCTCGCACTCTCACTAACCCCCCCATACAGTATCTGTTTTGCCTTCCTGTTCTCCATTTTTGTAAAAATATGACATTTTTGTTTGTTTAAGATAGCTATACAGGGTGTTTCATTGTGACATTTCCATGTATATTGTATTTTAACCTGAATTGGTTCATCTTCCCTATTTTTCTCCTTTCTACCTTAGTCCCTTTCTTATCATGATTTCAACAGGTTTAAAAATTCTATATTCATTCTTGTATAGGAAGTATATCAACCACATATTCACCCTTAGCATGACCTTTTTTTCATAACATTGTTTGTATTTGTATTGGGTCTATATTCCACATTAGAACATTTCCTTTCTGCAAATAAAAAACACAAGTATGGAACCTTCAACAAACTACATGTTCACCTGTGTTATCCAGCTTTCCATTATTATAAGAAAAACACCAGAGATAATCAACTTATGAACAGAAAAGATTTATTTGGGATTATGTTCTCTGATTTTTACTCCATGGTCCATTGGCCTTCTTGCCCCAAGGGGCCAATGGTGAATTAGTACATCAAAATGGAAGCATGTGGTAGAAGAAGTTGCTCACCTCCTGGTAGCTGGGAAGCAAAAGAGAGAGAGAGCTGGGGTCCCAATATCTTCTTCAAGAGCACACCTCCAATGACCTAACTTCCTTCCACTAGGCCCCACCTCCAGAAAGTTCCACCCCCTCCCAACACCACCACTCTAGGCATCAAGCCTTTAACATATGGGCCTTTGGGGGACACCTGAACTATAGCATCACACTCCTTGTGGAAACAGCTAAGGAAGAAGCTTATCTTCTCTCCTACTCTTCCCCCTGTTCCACCAAAATGGAGTTTCAAATAAGAACACCTTTTTATGAGTTTCCTGTTGTTGTAATAACAAATTACCACAGACTTCATGGCTTAACACGATGCAAATGTACTTCGTTATATTTCTGTTGCTCAAATGTCCAGAATAGGTCATTTGGGCTGTGTTCTTTCTTCAGACTCTATGGGGAGAATCTGTTTTCTTGGGTTTTTCAACTTTTAGATGTTGACTGCACTCCTTTGTTCATGGTTCCTTTTTTCATTTTAAAAATCATTAGTGTAACATCATCTTCAAACTTCTATCTACTTGCACCATGACATACCTTTTTTGATTATTTCTCTCTCTCTCTCTCTCTCTCTCTTACAAGGAGCCCTGTGAGTTCATTGGTCCTATAAATCCAAAATAACCTCCAGCTCAAGATCCTTACCTTAATCCCATCTACAAAACTTTTTTGCATGTAACGTGACATATTCATGGTTTCAGGGATTAGGACATGGCCATCTTTAGTAGGCCATTATTCTGTCTACTGCACCTTTGCTGTGGATTAACTTAAAGTAAGGTCATTCCTTTAAATAGATTCATTAAAACTCAGCTTCTACAAGGTAGCCCTGGTTGGTGAGCCTTTGTATCTGTACTTACAAGTAGGTTGAGGTTTTCTCAGTGATTTCTAGTCTAAAGTGTTGGTTCTCCAGCCTTAGCCATCATCAAAACTATCTCAGGGTCATGTGAAAACAGGTCAATGGAATCAAACTCAAAGTATCTGATTCAGGATGTCTGCAGTAGGGCCCAAAGGTTTGTATGTCTTGACTAGATGTAATATTTTAAAAATATATTCACAAATTCTTTGACATTCCATCCTTCCAAAGGTAAAGGCTTATTATCCTCTCCTTGCCTGTGGGCTACATTTAGTGACTCATTTCTAACTATAGCTAATGGAAGTGATAGCATGTGACTTCAAGACAAGGAGCTAAAAGGCATGGAAATTCCTGTGCTCTATTCCTTAGTTCATGTTCTTTGGGGAAGGCCATCCATCATATCTAGGGAAAATGAGGCTTCCTGCCAACTCCCAGCACAAATTTGACAGCTTGAGGATGAGCTACCCTGGAAGATGATCTTCCAACCCCAGTTGAGCCTTCAGATTACTATAACCCTTGGTGACATCTTGACTGCAGCCTTATGAGTCCTTAGTCATGATCTCCAAGTTAAGTTGTTCTCACATTCCTGACTCATAGAAACTGTGAAAAATGATGAATGTTGGTTGATATCTGAAGTCACTGAGTTGGGGGTAACTTGTTACACAGCAATAATAACTAAAGCACTAGTACTAATGCCTTTGAGAACTGCTGCTCTGCCCGCACACTGTAGAAGATCCAGAATTTCTGCCTGCCTTCTTGATCTAGAGAACTAGAGCGGGGTGAGGTGGCTGTTCTCAGGCTTATGTGTACTCCATATTCATTTTCTCTTTTCTACAGACGTATTCAGTTACTGCCAGTTGCTCTTTGGTGAAAGTGTTTTTACTGGGAAGAATAACGACAATATGTCAAATAATAGCTGGACTCCAGAAGCCTGTTCCTGTCAAGTCAGTAATAAAAAATATTCTGCACATGGATGAAGAACCAGACAGGTTCAGGGAGGAAAGGAAATGATTAAGAGATGAGTCTGTCATTCTCTCTCACACTCTTTTAAATCTGGAGGTGAACAAGATGAAGAAAGAAAGCAAAACTTTTGGCAAGAAGGGGCAAGAATAGCACTGTGGGGTGGGGCAAGAGAACGTGAGGATGTCCAGCTGTGAGATAATGAGAACCTGAAGCTGCCCTCATTGTGTCAGAGAGGCCAGTCCTGAGCCAGCTGGAGAGGAAATGGGGAGTTTACATTCTCTGGGATGTCAGTACGAACCAAATGGACACACTTCCTGTCTGGTTCTCCCCAAAGATTAGCAGACTCCTTGGCAAAGATGCTTTTCCAGGGGTTCCAATTTTTGCTCAGCTTCCCAACTGGCAGATGTATGCCAAGAAAGGAAATAGAACTCCAAGAGTGGGAGAAGGAAAATGGTAGTGAAAACAGAATGCCACAAAGAGAGCGTGAGATCATGAGAAATGGAGTATCAAGACGCTGAGTCTGCAAGATGGGCTGTCTTCAATCTGGACAGTGCCAAGAAAAGCTGGCCAAGCAAACCTATACTCGTGATCCCCATTCTGGTGGATGGGGTTTCTCTGGCTTTTCCATTTATTTTATAGAAACTGAAAATATGACACATGACTCCATTTATATGAAATTCTCAAATACACAAAGCTAATCTAGAGAGACAGAACAGAAAAGTAGTGGCCTCAGGCCAGTACTGTTGGCAGAGGTGACTGCAGAGACATGGGGGAATTCAGAGATGATGGAACTATTCCATATTTTGATTGTGACAATGGTTATATGTATATGTGCATTTGAACCATACATTCAGAATGGGTACCTTTCATTGTATATAAGTTATACCTTAATACTTTTGATCTTAAAATAATATAACATCTGAGAAGCACTCAGGGTTTCAGTGTCGGTCTGGCAAAAATAAGAGTTATCTAATAGAAGAGAGATTGAATTTATTTATTACAGCACAAGGAATAAACTAGAGTAAATGCATACACACTGTAGGAAGCAGATATACTTTACATATTTTTTATGAACAGAGTCCTCTGTCTGGAGTCTGTTTTAGAACTGTTATCTGAGTTGTTTTTCCTGCTCTCTTGGTAACTTCTCAAATGTGCAAACCTTGGCCTGATAGGAGCAAAAGCTCTGGGTCCATCTGAGCCCTAAACAGGTGAACTATAAAATCTCAAATTGTTGGAAGAGGAAAATGATCTCACTCTGACAGTTTACCAATGAGGAGTCAAAGGTTAAAAGGTTGACAGTTTAAGTCTTCTCAAAGGGTAGATGCAGCATATCAGATATCAGATGCTTTAGGTCAGAAGTAGAGGACATTCTAACTCAAAAATAGCTTAGAAAATAAAAGGAGTATATCAGATCTTATAAATAAAAGTACAAAGGGAAAAAGTGTTTCAAGTCTGGACTGATCTGTGTTATGGCTCTATTTTTATGCAATTTGCTGATTGGCTTAGCCCTTAGACTTCTGACTTAGGAATGATTGCAATTAATGTAGGCCTCTTATCAATGCACTTGTCACACCACACAGAAGGATAACTTTTTTTCCCCTTATTCAAGCCATGCTTTTTACCCTGAGCCAATTTGTAAGATTATTCTTACTGGCTTTAGATCAATAAGGCCCATTTTGGAGCATAGATGGGGTCAATCCATTAAAAAAAATGTGACTCTACCCAGCAAATGAACATTTGCCAAAGTGGGTAGAGCATCCAACATTCCTACTATCTCTCAACAGAAGGAGTCAATGCTCCTTCTAGATGGATATTTCTTCCTCTAAGTGTTCATGAATATTTTTACTATTGTAAGGATGTTTACATGAAAATCTCATACTCACACAGTATTTATTATTGTGATTAAAAAAAAACTACCAATCCAGCTGGGCACTGGTAGCTCACACCTGTAATCCTAGCTACTCAGGAGGCAGAGATCAGGAGGTTTATGGCTCAAAGCCAGCCCAGGAAAATAATTCTTAAGACCCTATCTCAAAAAAATGCATCACTAAAAAAGGGCTGGTGGAATGGCTCAAGGTGCAGGTCCTGAGTTCAAACCCCAGTACCAAAAAAGAAATTTCCTGATCCAATAGCTTGTGATCCTTTACAGATTAATTTCCTCTCGTGTATGGTACAGAACAATGGAGACCAAGGTCTTTGGGTTGTTTATGATTATGTTTTTTAGTGACTTTAAATTTTTCCCCTAAGAATAAACATCTTGCTGAAGTTGTCCTTAAGAAGAAATAATAGCTGTAGGTAACAAAATTAAACCAGTGGAGAAACTGAAGCTCAAAAAAATGAACAGATTCACTGATGATGTTAGTAGAAGTAATTGCATCAAAATTGAAGTCTCTTTATTTCCCATCCTGGTCCTCTTTTCAGAAAGCACATATTACCCTTTTGGCAAAATCATAGAAACCTGTTTTATGATGCTGTGATACTTAACATAAGGTGTCATTTGGCAGAGCCATGGTACACTCTTCTGAATGTTTCCGTGAGGACTTTTTTTTCTGTGGCACTGGGATATGAACTCAGAGCCTCATGCTGCTAGGCAGGCACTCTACCACTTGAGCTACTCCACCAGCTCTGTTTTGTGATGGTTTTTTTGAGATGGGGGTCTATTTGTCCAGAGCTAGATTTGAACCATGATCTTCCTGATCTCTGCCTCCTGAGTAGCTAGGATTATAGGCACTTGGCTCTGTGATGGTGTTTTGGATGACAGTCACATTTAAGTCAGTGGATTTGGGTAAAGCAGATTGCCTTACACAATGTGGCTGGGCTTCATCCAATCCACTGATTGCCTGAATAAAACAAAAAGTTGACCTTCCCTAACCAAGAATTTCCCAGTGGACTGCCTTCAGAGTTCATCTGCAACATTGGCTCTTTCTGATTGGCTAGCAGACCACCCTTGGACTTAACTTCAACTCTCCTGAGTGTCAAACCTGCTGACCTCCCCCATCAAATTTTGAACTCAAAAGCTTTCCACAATCATATAAGCCAATTAAATAAAATTTGTCTGTCTGTGTAACCTATTGTTTCTTTTTCTCTGTAGATTCTGACTAAAACAATGGTGGTTCACTCAAGAGTCCCTTTAAAAGATGAAGGCCAGTCCTTACAACTGGGCTGTCTCATAGTGAGCTACACCAAGGTTTATGACTTGAAACAACAGTTCTGTTGTTATTTCTCATGATTCATCAGCCAGGGTTGGGCTCAGTGGAATAGTTCTGCTGATCCTTCTAGAGCTCACCTGTGTGGGTGCTTTCAGCTGGACCATCCATTGGTGCTGGGCTCAATTGGCAAGGTAGGATGGTTGGAGTTCTCTTTCTCTGTGTAGTCTCAGAGTCTCTTCTTTCCATATGACCTTCCTTTACCTCTAATTGACTCTCTATGTGGTCTTGGTGGGTAGTCCAACTTCTTTCAGAGAATCTGGAGTACCCAAAAGTGCAAGCACAGCAGCTGAAAGGCCTTTGTAAAGCAGAGAATTGGAACAGGGTAATTCCAAAATCATAGTTTATTGATTAAAACAAATGAAGATCAGATCCAAGTAGAAGGAACTTAAATACTGGAAGTCCTGTTTTATTGAAGACTGACCTTATTTCATCAACACCATAGCTGAATGTGCCATTATGCAAATGTATCCTTCAATTCTATCACCACAGAAGAGAAGCTGAGGTTCACCGATTTAAAAACAATGACAGATCGTGGCTAATTAAAAAAAAAAACGTGATGAGATGGATTTCCTTTCTGGTTCACAGACTGAGTCTTATTAGATCCTAGTGGCATTTGTTCTCTCTATTTTCTCATTAGCCTTCATTAGCTTCTATCATCTCTAAACTTATCATTGTACTCTTGCTGCCCAGATTAATCTGGTGACTCTTATTGCATGATTGATTATAGCCAGATCACTATAAATAGGGAATGGAAAAGTAATTAGCCTGACCCTTCAGACAGGCCATTTCCTATATTAGGTATTAACGCTTTCATTTTGTCACTCCAGCAATCAGATGGAAGCTGGAGCTTTGGACAGTTTATCCTAAGATAGCCTTACCTCTCTGGTTGGCTTTTTACCCAGGCTCCCCTACCTGGTGCTGTCAGTAGAGCCCTGTGCAGTGTGCAATTCTCAAGTAAGCCATCTGATGATGTAAAAACAAACCTCCCCTGTGGAAGGTCATCAGGAGCCTCTGGGGGTTGCCGATGGCCGAGAGAACACAGGAAAGATTGGCTGGGGAGTGCATAGTGTAGAGGATTATGAATCAGCCTACAGGATCATGTGGGGCCAACACTCCAGGTAGCCAGAATGGCAGAGCAAGCAATGTAAGCAACCAGAACGCTCTCAGGTCTCTGCACCAAAAGCTGCCCCTGACTTAGTTACTGGGCTGGACCTTTGAGGGGTCAAGAAAGAAAGTCAAGCATTGAGGAATAAAAGACAGAAATAGCCCATTATCCAAGGCGGAGGTGCTCCAAGATTCCCAAGTTCCTGCCTAAGATTGAAAGTGCTACCAAATTCTATACTTTCTGGAGCAGCACATTGCTGTTAATTGGAACATGTTCTCTTTCTTTCTTTCTTTCTTTCTTTCTCTTGTTCTTTCTTTCTTCTTTTCATGGTACTGGGGTTTGAACTCAGGGCCTCACACTGGCTAGGCAGGTGCTCTATAACTTGACCCACACTGCAAGCCAATTCCCAGAACACGTTTCCTTTTCATGTCTTCCATCCACAAATGTGATGCCTTTTCCATCTTGCTTCCTTGCAGTACTAAGTATCAAACCCAGGGACTTGTGCATGCTAGGCAAGTGCTCTGCCACTAAGTCGCATCCTCAGCCCTTGCCTTTCCATCTTAACTAAGTACTTATCAAGCACCACATCTGTAACTTTTTCAGTGTGAGGTGAGACAGCAAAACTGGTAAGTTTTTTTTCCTTCTTCACAATTATCATAGCTCTTAGCAACCTCTTCATATGATATTTTTCTTTCCTTAATGATTCCTTTTTAAACAGTTTTTACCTTTTCACTTAAAGGGAACACAGTTTGGTTTCTTTTTAGCATATCTGAATTACAGCATCACTGCCTTGCACTTTGGAGTCATTACAAAGTAAAATAAGAGTTACCTGAATGCCATGGGATACTGCAATGGTTAGCCTAATAGTCAAGGCAACTGCCAAGTGAGTCACAGGCAGGTAGCATATACAGTGTGTATACTATAGACAAAGGGAAGATTCACCTGCTGGCTGTGCTGGGACGGGACTCAGAACAGCATGGACTTTAAAACTTATGTACTCTTAACTCCTGGAATTTTCTATTTAATGTTTTCAAATGGTGGTTGACCAAGGACAACTGAAACCTTGGAAAGCAAAACCACAGATAAGAGGGGACTACTGTGTATTTCAAACTTATTTCATGGCTCCTAGCAGAAAGAAAGTCTAGGTTTTGATCTCTGAGCCACAGGGAATAACACTTTACATGACATGAAGTGAGCGGCCTTCAACTCCTGGCCTTCACCCACATGGGAACAAACACATATGAGTTCTTCTTACCTGCTGAGCTCCATGGAGAGTAAAGGAGAGGTGACAACAAAGAATCAAGTGGGCCCTGCCCTGAGAATCTTTCAGACCAAGAGCTGTGGATGCTTCATACACTACCAGTGTTCAGCCTATCTTTGAGACTCAGTGTGCTAACTCATCATGCTGGGATGAAGTCTAGAAGATGATACTGAAAGAGGTGAGAGTTAGGCTATGTCTGAATGTTTCGTACCCCCAGATTCACACACTGAAATCTAATCCATGACATGATAGTATTAGGCGGGAACATTGGTCGCTATTGGGTTTTGAGGGTAGAGTCCTCATTGAATGAGATTAGTGTCCTTATAAAAGAGCCCCCAAACAGCTCCCTTACCCCTTCTACCATGTGAGGACACAGCAAGAAAACACTGTCTGTGAGCCTAGAAACACCTCTCATGACATCAAATCCTCCAGCACCTTGATCTTGGATTTTTCTGCCTCCAGAATGATGAGAAATAAATTCCTGCTTTTTATAAACTACCTAGTTTATGGCATTTTGTTATAGCAGCCCAAATGGACTAAGTTGGATAGGATCAGATGTGTTTGGCAGATAAAAATTTGGTTAGATTACAGCCAGGCTATGTGGCTTGAATGAGGGAACCAAGTGCTATGCCTTATATTTACATATTCCTCCGCCTTCCTTGCCTCACCCAACCCTCACAGCATCCCTCAGCAATGAGCATTGTTATCTCCATTATACTGATGAAGAATCTGAGACGCAGAGAAGTTAAGCCATCAGCCCTGGGTCACACATCAATCAGGCTGCAAAGAGCCTGAAACAGAGGGAGCCTAGGAGGGAGGGTGCAGCATGAGTCTTTTCACCCAGAACAGTCTTCCAGCCACGTCCAAAAAGCAAAAGGGCCCTGAGTGGGTCCACCTGAAGAGGAAGACAGCTCCTTGAGAAAGTAGCCAAGAATGGCCAAGACCTTCACCACTGACCTGGGGGCAGCTGGCCATTTCCTTCCCCAAAGGGTGGCATCTGCTCAGCAGGGCAGCAGGCGAAGGAAGTGCAAATATCTCACAGCACCACATCCTAGGAAGGCGATCACAAGCACAGCTCCATGGCAACCAAACAGAGGACAAACTGCACCACTGCAGGACAAAGGCAGAGAACTAACAGCACAGGGCTGCCCACTTGCTGTGGCAGGCACGGCACTAAGTGCTCCAGTGTGACCTCCGTCAACCCTCCAGATACCAGGAGGGGTACTATTACTGTCCCCTTTAACAAAGGGAAAATGGACATGGGTGAGGTGAAAGAACTGCCTATGGAGAGAGGTGAAGGCTCTGGCACAGGATCTCACACCCATGCCTGAGTTACGACCTCCACACTGTAACTTCCCAAATGCTCATGCAACACACCCCTCAGGACAGCAGGGACCCTGAGCAAGGGACAAGCATACTGTACCACAGAATATAAGCTCCCCCAAGGCAGTCATTTTCATCTGTGCTGCTCACTGATGTAACTCAAGCTTCAAAAATAGTACCAGGCACATGGTGGACATGTAATAAATATTTGTTGAGTGAAGTAAAGAACCATAAAGCCACCATGAGATGAAAATGAGGAGCTGGCTAAGTAACTTGCTCCCACACTTTGGTCTTGTTGTCTAAAATTCAGTTTTCTTTACTAAAGTTTTCTAGTACAGTCTCTCAATAATGTCATTTTAAGTATAATGTGATTGGCTAAGAAGCCCCATCTTGGCCTTGTCTGTTTCACACAGAAGGTGAGGAAAAATGACATATTTATTGGTCCTAGAAAGCTGCTGAGAGAGAGCCTGAGAGAGACTTAGTCCAGCTGGCTGGTCTCTGTACCTTTCCTTCAACCAGCTGCATAGGCTCACCCTGGTCATCTCACTTAACCTCCAACAATGCAGCCTTTCCTTTCATGAGGGTGGATTCTTACTTACATCATGGTGGGATTTCCATCTCACCATATGTCACAGACCTTGTTTCCTGGTAAAGTTTAATATAAATATTGCATCCATTGAGGACAAAGTCCAGTGACTCTCAGTTGCTTTCTGGGACCCTGCTCACCACCCTATAGGTCAGCTCTGGTCTCACCTTGTCTCATGGTCCCAGTGAACATGCAGATAGAATCAACTTGGAATAATAAATATCCATGGGCAGTAGGGAGGGGTCCTCCCACCTCCGTGATCTGCCAAGCAAGTTTGTTTTGCTCTCAAGATAAATGAGGAGCCATGGGGTGTTTTTCTAACTGTGAATTCTTGACATTTTTCTTTAGGTGCCTAAATAAGCAAAGCTAACATTGCCTGTCTTCTCTGGCACTGCCCAGGACTGTTTAATGAATAATAGAATCACAGATCATAGTGCTAAGATGGGCCTCAGAAGTTACCTGAGGCATGTGTTTTCAAATTTTTTAGACAGTTGGGACCCTTCTTTCCTATATGAGCTTACCCTGGAGTCCACCATATTACAGTGTGGTTATCTTAATTATAGTTCAGTAGAGTACTCAACATATTCTATGAGAAAAGCTGTCCATACTGTGAATGAAGCCAGGTGGCAACCGGGCCCCTTCCTCTGCACCCTTCTTTACTTTCCTTCCACTGTGGGCCCAGACTTCACTGGGATATCTTGGGCCCCAACCAGCAGAGTTCCACAAACCCTTTTCTAGCCAGCCCACTCATTGCACTGATTGTAAGCAAAAGCCCTGGGAGGGAAAGGAACTTACCAAGGTCACAGAATGAGTTAGTGACCAAGCTGAGGCCCTCATCATCCTGACTCAGGGGTCCCATTCTCTGTCATCCACCACCAGCCCCCACCACAGTGCTAAAAAAATTACACCTGCCAGGGACAAGCATGTGGAAAGAATGCTCCTCTCTGGCTTTTTTAAAGAATGCTTCTCCCTTGACTCAGAGGGCTCCAGGCAGGTATTAGGCAAGTGTATACATGCTAATGAGCACACCTGTGTTACTAACTAAAGACAACTTTAATATAAAGTTTCAACTCCAGGATTGGGTATTGGGGTCCTAGCTTAGACACAAGACGTGATAACCAACAAAGCTGTTACTACCTTTACCTCCCACCTCTCAAGGAACCTTTAGTCTTCAAAATATGCTCTTCAATACCACAGAAAAAAATTAAACAAAAAAGCCCTTCTGTTTCAGTCTTCAATTTAGAGGAAACGGATTAGCAACACAGTTCAAAAATGACACCCTAGAAGTCAAGCTTCGACAGGCCAGAGGTCTGGGTTCACCCTGCAAGCTACTTTTCCAGGCCCCAACCACCTCAGCTGTAAAGAAGAATGTGTGTGCAATGAGCTAGAAGCTTCCTTCTAGCTCCAGCATGCCAAAAGCCTAAAAGAAAACAGTGTCCCTTCACCCTATTACCTCTGAAGAGGCAGGGAAAGAAGTGTGAACCATGCCCTGCGGTCAGTCCATCAGCCCCTGCAAAAATAAATGCTTTCACAATACAAAAACACTATAGAAATGCCTCTGATACCCAAATATCCTCACTTCAGTTGTCTTTTATTTTTCTCTACCTTCTCAGTTACCTTTCTCCTTTGCTTTAACTGCTTTAGAAATGCTGGCCATATAAAGCTGGAGCCCAAACAATTTTTCTTATTACTTCCCCACCCCCCTCCGTCTGCCTTGTTTCAGCTGGCTGATAGGCTGGTGCCAGAGACTGAAATGGGAAACTCATTCCCTGCACCACCCTCCTTCTCCTTCCTCCTCCTTGTATCCTCTTCTCCCCTTTCCCCCTCCCTCTCCTTCCCTGGCCCTCCCTCTTCACCCTCTCCCAACAGACACCTCTCCCCCCATGCTCAAAGGAAGGTCACATGGAGCCTTTGGCTGGAACACTCAGCTGTGCTCAGAAATCCTAAACACTTGTGGGCTCTGCAGCACTTGCCAGGCAGAACAGGGAGTCCTCTCTCAGGCCAGGCTCCGAGCAGGCAAGATGGAAGATGCCTTATTAGGTCATCCAGCCTGAGAAGCGGGTCAGCCTCTTTTTTCAGCTCACTGGCCCCTGAGAATGAGACTCCTGATCTGACTGTCTTCATCGCCTTTAGCTCCTAACTCTCCCCTTGTCCCCTTAAAGTAGCCAGGGTACCTCATTCCCCTCCAAACCTGGAGAGGTAGCCCAGGGAGCAACTTCTCCCCCAGCTGAATCTATTTGTCTCCATCTTCTTGATCTCCTGACCCTTGCTTTTTCCCATTGTTTCAACATTCTGTATGTTTTCCGTGTTTGTTGGGTTCCTTGTTTGTCTGGGTCCTGCACTAAAACGCAAACTCTTGTGGGAAGGCATTGAATGCATTTGGCCCATGTACATATCTCAAGTGCAGTTTCAATAAATATTTAGCAAATGACCTCCTTACACGCTAAGATACCCCTGGAGTCCATGAGCTTACTCTATGTCTCACGCTTCTTCTTTCTAGCCAGTTCTACAGATAGAGCAACTTCTACTTATGCAGAGAGGAAGAGAGGCAGCCTTGTCATTTCCTTAGCCCAGTCTACCTGTCAGGCAGTAATCTCACCACCATCTTGGGACAAGTGGACTGTTTGGAGTAAATCCTTCACTCAACTTCCTCCTGCTATGAGAAGGCAGGTTTCCAAAGTCTATGAATGATTGTCACAACTAAAGCACACTCAGAACACATCAGCAAGCCAGCCATAAACACTAGAGCCCAACTCTGAAAACCCCCATTGCAGCCTGGCCTTGGCCTACCAGCTCTGCACCAGCTTCTTCTAACTCTCACCTCTCACCTGCTAAAATCGTTCCCTAAGAGGAATCTTACAAACTCTGCCAAGCTAAGGCACAAAGGCTTAATAAGGCTTGACATATTTCCTTTCCAGGAGCAGTTATATTTTCAACAAGCAAGGTCAAGTCCAAGGCATGGATACCTGTTGGTAAATGCTCACATCTATAAGGGGGTTGGGTACTGACCAGCCAGACAGCCTGGATGCTTAATCTGAGAATCCACAGGACTCTAGCACTAGACCTTCTTTTTCAAAATATTAATTTATGTTTTCCTATAGAAATAATACATGTGTGCAAAAGTGTTATTATGAAATTACATTTTAAAAATCAAAGCATATAAAGAATCTGCCACTGTCCTCTACACATTGTATAAATTTTCTTTTTCTCTCTTTGGCATAATCATTATCATTTTTCTTACTTTCTCCTTTAGGAAAAAAATTTCAGCCCATTTTTTCCATTGAGGTAGCTCAGAGCTAATTCCTGAGTTCCTACAGAAGCATGAAAGAGCTTGTTTAGATGTAAGATCATGAGTTCCTGAGAACAGGGTCTGTGTGTGACTTTCCATGGCACAGAATAGACACTAATCAGTGCTGTGCACTGAGCGTACTTCAAGGCCTGGTTATGTCAAATGCAGCACCATAGCCAGCTATGTGTGATTTCAGGGTTCCAAAAAGGACAGTCTTTTTGAATCAGAACTCCTCCTCCATCCTTTAGCTAATACCTACTATCCCATTGTAGGACTATAGTCTTGAGTCCAAACTCTATCTACAGGTAAAAGGGCTGAAATTTCAGAAAGATCAAGTGACTACGCAATGTGTGCAGGGGCATTTAGAAGGGAAGTACTCGGCATCACAAGCAATAACTGCCCACCAATTACAATTCCTGGGAGTGACTAAAGAGCACCAGGAAGGGGAGGATTTCGAAGCACAGAGTAGGATACAAGTGGGGACTAATCAAGGAAGTAAATAAGGAAGAGAGACACCAAAAACTAACTTCATGGTTTTTTCTTCCTGGATTATTTGTATAGGTTAAGCATTCCTAATCTGAAACCCCAAATTCTCCAAAACCTGAAACTTTTTGAGAGCTGACATGATGTCACAGTGGAAAATTCCACACCTGACCTCATGTGATGGAGTGCAGCCAAAATTCAGGTACACTAAAATATTGGACAAAGTTACCTTTGGACTACATGTATAAGGTATATATGAAACTTAAGTGAATTTGATCTTTATGTTTGGGTCCATTCCAGAGATAGCTCATTATATATATGCAAATATTCAAATTCCAGCCAAAAGTGTCTTCAATTTGAAATACTTCTGGTCCCAGGCATTTTGGGTAAGCTATACTTGAGCTGTATTTAAAAAGAACATATCTAAGGATTCCACCTCAAATTCTGGTCCTTGTTAGCTGAGTGAGCAGACTAGACTGGGTTCAGTGGTCTT